GTTCCCTGTTTACAATCTTATAAGCTCATTTTACTTCGGATATGTCCATAGATGTGGTTTCTGGGTTATGTCATCTTGTTCATTAATGGTCGGTTGTTATTTACTATTTTTGATTCTCTGTTCAAAGGACTCCCTTTAGCATCTCTCATAAGGTTGGTCGGGTTTTAACAAATTCCCTTAGTTTCTGCTTATCTGGAAATCTCCTAATTTCACCATCATATTTGAGGTACAGTTTTGCTGGGTATATAATTCTTGGTTGAAAATTTTTCTCTTTTGGGGTTTTATATGTACCATCCCATTGTCTTCTTGCTTGCATGGTTTCTGCTGAGAAATCAGCGCTTATTGTTACTGGCTGTTCTTTTTCAAGTAACTTTTTTTTTCCCTTTCTGCGTTAAGGATTCTGTCTTTGTCTTTGGTTTTGATTAGTTTGATGATTATTTGTCTTGTGATTTTCTTTTGGGGTCTATCCTGTTTGGGGTTCTTTGGACTTCCTGAATGGCTATATTCTCATCTTTCATCATATCAGGGAAGTTGTCCTCCAACAAATCTTTTGCAATTTCCTCAGTGGTTTTATTTTTCTCTTCTTGTTCTGGAATTCCAATGACACATAGGTTATATATTTTGATGGTATCCTACATGAACCTTAGGCTTTCTTCATTTTGTTTTGATTTTTTTTTTTTCTGATTGATCCCTTTTCAAAGACGTATTCAGGTATTTGTCTTCAATCTCATTAATTCTGTCTTCCATTGTATCAATTCTGCTCCTTTACCCTTCCAATGTGTTATCTATTTTTGACAATTTAGTGTTAATCTTCTGGATTTCTATCCATAGATTTAGAATCATTTCTAATTTTTCATTTATTTTGTCATTTTGCTCTTGTATTTTCTTCCAAAATTCTTCTAGGGTTTTTTTCTGTGTTTTCTTTGGTCTGTCTCTCAGTCTTTTGAAGGTACCTAAAGATAATTCTTTTGAATGCTTTATCAGAGAGTTCCAGTGCTTCTTCTTCCTCAGGGATGTGTTCTGGGTCTGTATCCTGCTGCTTTGTTTCTACTCCTGTATCTTGCTTCTTTGTGTGGACTGTGATGGTCTGTTGTCTCTGAGGCATTGTGGTATTATTGTATTTATATCTCTTTTAAAGAGAGCATCCAGGGGTGATTCAGGCTCTTCTTGGTGGTTTTCTTTATTGTTGTCCCATTGGTTGGAAAAGAGGTGGTGGCTCTCACTCAGTAAGTGAAGTTGCAGGAGTTGGAGGTGTAGCTGTGTCTTATGGGGACTTTTGCCATCTCCCACTCAGTTAGACAAAAATTACAGTTGAATAACCATTAAAAAACTAAAAGCACCTAGACAAAAAATATACTATGTAATCACACAGGAACAGTAACCAGAAAAAGAAAAAAGGGAAAGAGAAGGAGAAAAAAACAAGACAACCTGCAATATCTGTGGATACTAAGAGTAAAGAGGTTGAGAAGGAGACTAATGAAGAAAATAATGGGAAAAAT